TTTTTTCCTTTTTTCCTTTTTTCCTTTTTTCCTTTTTTCCTTTTTTTTCCTTTTTTCCTTTTTTCCTTTTTTCCTTTTTTCCTTTCCCCCCTTTTCATTTTCCTTCACTTTCTTCCGTTTTTTTTCCTTTTCATTTTCCCTCATTTTTTCTTGCCTTTTTTCCTTTGTTTTCCCCCATTTTTCTCCCCTTTTCTCCCTTATTTTCCCTTTTATTTCCCTTTTTCCTTTTCATTGTCCTTATTCTCCTTGGCTTTCCTATTTTTCTCCTTTTCCCTTTTTTTAATTTGTTTCCTGTTTTTTCCTTTTTTTATTTTATTTTTTCTTTTTTTTTTTTTTCCCCTTTTTTCCTCATTTTCTCCTCCTTTTTTTCTCTTTTTTTTTTTTTTTTCCCCTTCTTTTTTTTTTTTTTTTTTTTGTGGGTTTTTTTTTCATTTCAGGGAGTTGGAAGGATTTTCCCCTTTTTTATTTTTTTCCCCCTTCCCCTCTCCCCAAGAAGGATCGAGTGCTGGGGTGCCCCCAGGCCCAGGGCTCCCCCTCAGGGCCAGAGACCTGGAACGGGGCCCTCAATCCCAGGAGCCCCTGGACACCCAATCCCAGACCCCATTCCAGGCCCTCACTCCCAAACACCGGCTCCAGGCCCTTGATCCCAGACCCCATTCCAGGCCCTCACTCCCAAACACCGGCTCCAGGCCCTTGATCCCAAACACCCATTCCAGGCCCTCATTCCCAATGCCAGCTCCAGGCCCTTGATCCCAAACACCCATTCCAGGCCCTCATTCCCAACACTGGCTCCAGGCCCTTGATCCCAAACACCCATTCCAGGCCCTCATTCCCAATGCCAACTCTAGGCCCTTGATCCCAAACACCCATTCCAGGCCCTCACTCCCAACGCCGGCTCCAGGCCTTTGCTTCCAAACACCTGTTCCAGGGCCTCAGTCTGGGCCCTCACTCCAAACACCGGCTCCAGGCCCGAGGGCACTGGACAGGGCTGTGTGGCCACAAACCAGTTGGGTCACTGTAGTCGTGACAGGCCTCTCTGGTGATAAAGGCACTGACACCACACTCTGCCAGCAGTGTCGGCCAGGGCCTGGCCAGGGCGTGACGTCGCCCATCCTCACCCCATCCCTCGGGATCCACAGCTCCAGCAGTCACAGCTGTCAGCGTGAGTACCTGCTTTGTACCCCAAAACCCGGGTTGGAGGGACAGGAAACAGGGGTGGGGGACGTGGTGGTGGAGCCCTCATGGGGATGGTTACACCCCATGGGATGTGGGAGAGGGTTACACTCTGCAGATGTGGGAGGTGGGGTGTTATGGCTTCTTGGCTTGGTCACCTCTGTCCTGAGGCCACCAGGACCCCATTGTTGGGCTGCCACATCCCAGCCACTGCTATTCACTTCTGGCTGGAAACCCGTCCAACCTATCCCCCTAAAACAGGGGAAATCTGGAAGCCTTTCGCAGCCCATACCCAAAAAAAGAGAAGATCTGGAAACCCTTCACAGCCAATATCCAAAAAAGGGAGAAACCTGGAAGCCTTTCATGACCCATCTCCAAAAAAGGGGAGAAACTGGAAATCCTTCATAACCGATCCCAAAAAAAAAGGGGGAAACCTGGAAACCCATCCCCCAAAATGGGGGAAACGTGGAATCTCTTTGCAACTCATCTCAGAAAAGAGGGGTAAACCTGGAATTCAGAGAGGTGCCCTGAGGAGACGGGGTGGGACCACTCCTTGCCTCCTCACAACTGGTTCCAGGGTGAATCCTGATTCCATCCTGGCACCAGCCTCTGCCTCCCCTGGGGTGAGTGGGCACAACTCAGCACTGATTGAGCTCGCTTGTCTTCATCCCTTCTCTTGCAATGATGGTGATGATGATGATGGTGACGATGATGATGACATGATAACGATGACGAAGCTATTCTGGATTTTCCCGTTCCTGGGGGATTGTGCAGGTTGTCCCTGGGTGGGAACTGGTCCAGTCAATGCTGGACAGGATGGGGCAGTTGCCAGAGATGGGGCAAGAGCTGCCAAGTCACTGAAGGGTGACCTCCCCAAATCCTGTAGGGACGAGCTCTGAACTCCAAAGTCCTCTGACAGGGATGGTGGGTCCTGGACATGGCTGAGGGGTGCCCTGGGGTGCTGGATGCCAGTGTGGTCACCCCTCACTTGGGGACCCAAGGCCATGACCCCCATTGGTGACTTGAATCTGAGGGCAGCAGGAAGAGCAAAGGCCAGATCCAGGAGCACAAAGGCCCTTTTTCCCCCATGCACGTATGGGGTGGTGGAGCAGGGATGAGGCTGAGCCCTCCTGTTGCAGCTGGGGCACCTGCTCAGCCCCCCAGACAGCCACCCAGCCCCTGGGCACCCACTCAGCCAGTGTGACCAGGGGAAGGTGGAAAGGCCGGTGACACAGCAGTGGCTCTGCAGTTTCTGGGCTGAGCTCAGGGACGCAGGAATATTGCTGCCATCAAGGCCATAAAACCATGGAGATACAGCGGGAGGGAGGGAGGGCTGCGGGAGGATGAAGAGGAGCCGACGGGACGTGGCCAGGGCGCCCCGGGGAGCAGACGGCTGGGTGAGCTCCGGCTGCAGGAGGTGACAGGCAGCCCATGAACTGTCCCGAGGGACGAGGAGGAGGCCGGTGGTGACAGGTGGGTTCCACCGCCCAGGGACGCTGTCGTCACCCAGCGCGTGGGGCCAAGCCGGGCTGGGGGCCGGCGGTGGCGCGGAGCCGAGGGGCCGGCGCGGGGCCCGTGGGGACAATGACCCCGTTGAGGCCGCGGGCGCAGATGGAGACAAACGTCCCCGTTGTTCCCGGCGCAGGCTGAATGGCTCCTCTGTGCCCTGGCAGTGGGTGGGGAGCCGGGCGGCTCGGGGTGGCCGCGGGCACCCAGGGCCGGCCCCGGGGAGCCGGGCAGTGCCCGGCCGCAGCCCCGCGTCCCTTCGCCAGCCGCTCCCTCTCGGTTCCCTCTCCCCCTTCCCAGGCCGGCGAGCCAAGGCCGGGATCCAGGCAATGCCATAAGCACCGCGGTGGAGTGGGGAGGCTTTGGAAAAGCCAGCGTTTGCGGGGAGCTGCCCTGGAAGAGCTTATTCCATGTCGGAGCAGCATCGGCACCCCCGCCCCGTGCCGCCCGCTCCCCCGGCACCCCGGCCAGTCCAGGACAGGACAGGGACAGCCCAGCGCCAGCGGCGCAGGCAGAGGAAAAGGTGACGGATACTGAGGGCACAGTGGGATGCTTGGGAGTTTGTGGGGTGCTTAAAGGGTGGCAGGATGGTTGGGGGGACAGCAGGATGCTTGGGGGGTTGTTGGGTTGCTTGGGGGGCAGAGGGATGCTTGGGGGGCAGCAGGATGGCTGGGGAGCAGTGGGATGCTTGACAGGGTATTGGGATATTTGGAGGTTTGGGGATGCTGGGGGGGGGGGGGGGGGGGGGGGGGGGGGGGGCTTGAGATGCTTGGGAAGCAGCTCTATGGGGCAGGGAGCCTGGGGATGTGGGGCTGGATGTTTGCACCCATAAGAGTGTGCAAGGGGAACAGGGGTGTAGGAAGCACTGTGCCTGTGTGGAACGGAGCCTGCCAAAAACAGAGCATACATGGATTTATGGCATCAGGAGGAGCAAACAGCAGGTGGACACACCTTGTGTATGGCAGATATAGGGGTATGGCCCTAAAAAGAGTGGATCCAACAGGGAAAACCCAAAAGCAAGCTCTAGGATGCCCCAGGGGAGCTGGGAAGTTGCTGGGACATTGAGATGGGGATGCAGAGCTGTGAGGCCCGGCCTGTCCCAGGGGTCACTGGTGAGGAAATGGTCAGTGCAGCCGTGTCCTCTGGCTGGGAATTTCAGCCGCTGGCGCTGTGGCCACCCTGCGCCTGTGGGAGCCCCAGGAACACGCCTGGTGCACCATGTTCCCCTCAAAGAGTTATTCCCTCAGCAGCTTATTAATAATTAAGCTGCTCATTGAAAGCAAAGTAAATAGAGAGGTTGGGCTGAAAAGTGTTTGCCAGAACCACCCCTGGGAGCCAGGAAGGGTGGAGGGAGGCATCCCCCTGGCATTCCAGAGCTCTGGGATGGGGTGCTGTGTGGGCCTGGGGGGCTGGCGGGGTCCCATTGGGATCTATCAGGATCCATTGGAACCCATCTGGACTGATTGGGATCCATTGGGACCCATCAAGGGTTCATGGTTCAGTCTCATTTGCTTTCGTGGGATCAGTGCCAGCACTGGTGATCCTTGGGGTCCAGCTCTGCTCCCATCTGGCAGTACCCACAAAACTGGGTGTCCTCCTGGCTCTCTCCAGTGGCTTTTCCAGGTGGTGCCACGCCGTGACCGTGGGGGGATCACAG